ACTGGAAGTTTTTAAGAAGAGACTGGACAGCCATTTGTCTGAAATGGTATAGGGTTTCCTGCCTGAGCAGGGGGTTGGACTCGATGACCTCCAAGGTCCCTTCCAACTTTATTATTATTATTATTATTATTATTATTATTATTATTATTATTATTATTATTATTATTATTATTATTATTATTATTATTATTATTATTAACAAATGTTTCATTTGGCAACATAAATGTTGGGCTCAATTCTGGCAGTAACTCAAGGACTGCCTGCAATATGCAAAAAAAGAAAAGGGCTAAAACAAGTCTCACAACAAAATACAAAGTATTAAGAAAGCCTGAACAACTTCCATGAAATTTAACAAATCTAAGATTTACAATGGGAAAAAGGTAATGCCCAGAACAAAACTCAGACTTGCAACAACAGACAAAAATAGCTGTACTGATAAAAAATTTAAAAGTCAGAAAAGTTGCCTAAAACAGGGAATCAGTAGGCCCAGGAAACATATAAGCTTCCAATAACAACAGGTTTGGTACAACCTGATTATAGAAAATATATTTAGGGTATCACAAAAGTAATGACATTCAAATGATTGTATATTTTGTGTTATTTACTTTTACCATGGCTAGGTAGGAAAACTAAAGGGAGCCTGCACCATATGTCAGAGTAACAGCTGATGTTGTCTTTGCATTTGGTGCTCTTTTCTAGACAGTTTTATTTTAGGCAGCTGTGAAATTCACAGACTTTGTCTTCCATTGCAAAATAAGCGTATGTGTTGTTATCCTGTTGACCTCTGCCAGCTGTGGAGGAAGGCTCTTTCTGCCTCAAGCAGCCAGTGCAGGTTTCAGCATGCCTTCTATCCAGTCCCTTGGGTGTACCTCTTTGCTATCAATGGCTGCCATGTACATGGTTAAATGCAAGACAGTTCTCCATGTCCGTCATATCTATATACAGAGTAGTTGAACACAAATTGTAACCACAGTTTTACTGAACAGTATTGATTGAGCAAACATGTAATAAACAAAACCAAATAACCCAAGCTTTGGCTTCAGATAATTTGAAAGAGCCAGTCTGATGTGGTAGTTAAGGCATCTGGCTAAAAGCCAGGAGGTGGTGAGTTCTAGTCTCCCCTTAGACAAATAGCCAGCTGGGTGACCTTGAGCCAGTCATTCACTCTCAGGCCTAGGAAGGAGGCAAGAGCAAATCACTTCCAAAAAAAAACCTTCCCAAGGAAACTGCAGGGACGTATCCAGGCAGCTTCCAGGAGTCAAAACTATTTCTCACAAATGAAGATGAATATACATGTCCCTAGATAATATTGCAGGATCCAATCTGAGTCAGTAACAGGGACCAGAAATTTAGTCTTCCGAGCTTTTGGACTCATGCTGGAGGCCGTCCATGAGGATGGGATCCAGCATGAGTTCAAAAGCTCAGAAAATCCATAAAACTAAACCTCTGGTACTGGAGACCAATCCAGATTGGATCCTGAAAAACTATTTCTTTAGATCAGGGATGGGCAATTAGTTTTTTCAAGGGGCCCCATGTGAAACTGGGATTGTTGTGGAGGATTGAACCAATGGGGCTGGTGCCATCTCCGGCAGCCCCACCGTGGCTCAAAGTCACCCTAGAACAGGGGTAGGCAACCTTGGCTCTTTTATGACTCGTGGACTTCAACTCCCAGAATTCCTGCTGGCTCAGGAATTCTGGGAGTTGAAGTCCACAAGAGCCAAGGTTGCCTACCCCTGCCCTAAAAGCATTCAGGGCTGAGGTCAATGTCCCAGAGATGCTTTTTCCAAAAGGCAACTAACTGGACTGGTTTTTCAAAAGGCCAGTTGCCTTTTGAAAAAGCACTTTTGGGGCAACCATGACCTGGATGACTTGAGAATTTCCATAGACATTTGGCTGAGGTCAATGTTACCCTGTGTCTCCCCAGGCCTAACACAAGATCCACCATCCACTCCTTTCTCACCTTCTTTGTTTCCTTGGCCTCTTGTAACAGGCTAGTTGAGCAGGTCTTGTGAGAAACCAGGCAAAAACAGCAGATGGAGACTCTGTGGTCCTGGCAGAAGACCTCCAGGAGCTTGTTATGGGTCTGACACTTCTTCTGCTGAAGTTCCTTCACAGGTGGAGACAACTGGTGGGTCTTAAACGCTGGGCTCTCCAGGTGGGGCCTCAGGTGTTCCTGGCAAAAGGAAGCCATGCAGGTGAGGCAGGTCTTGGCTGCCTCGACCACCAAGCAGCTGTCGCAGGGCACTGGAGAGGGCGCCCTCGGCTTGGCCGCGCTGCTGTCCACCTTCTCCTGCTTCTCCTCGCGTGTCCCTTTGGAGGGGCCATCTTGGCTGACCTGAAATTGCTCCACCACCTTGCAAAGCACCGTGTTTTTCTTCAAGTCAGGACGAATTTCGAAAGAAGCCCTGCACTGGGGGCAGCTGAAGTTTTCCTCCGTGTCCATCCAGGTCATCTCCAGGCAAGGCAGGCAAAAATTATGGCCGCAGGGCGTAGTGACCGGCGTCTGAAAAACACATAGGCAGATGGAGCAAGTCAGTTCGTCTTCCAGCCCGAACATAGACAACGCATCGACCAAGCTAGCCATGGCTGCGTCGGCGGAGGGAAGTCGGCGCTTTATATATAGAGAGATAGATTTGCCGCTAAGGAAAAGAAACCGAAACTTTGGGAACGGGCGTTTAATGGATTTCCTAGAAATCACGTGGGCGGGCGGAGACGCTTGTGCGCAACGCACAACGCACGGAGTCTGCGGATAAGCCTTCGTGGAAGGGAAGGAGGTTCTCCTTTTGCCCGAATGTGATCTAATCACACCATCAAGGGCGGGGAGGGTTTGCTTGCTGTTTCTGCTTCCCGATCCCCGTCCTTTCCCCCTTGCATGCCTAGAAGCAAAAGGCGTACTGCTCAGTACCGCTGGCTTTGCTGCCCCGGGAAACAGCCCCGTCCGTTTTTTAAACTTTGCAATTCATTATATAGAGCGAGTTGGCATGAAGTCGGGAGCGCCCGTTCCCCCAGAAGTGCATAGAAAGCGCAAAGGCCCTCGACGGGAAGTTTTATCAGAAAAAAAAAATGACGTTGAATGCAATGGGGCGTCATCCCTGGGATGGCGGAAACGACCCTGGATAAAAGTACCAGATGCCTCTTTGGGGCGTGAATGGGAGGACGCGTTAAATGCCCCCCCGGTGATGCCTTGATTGTTTGTAAGTGGCAAATCCGGAAAGTTAAACTCATTCGCCTCCATACCAGGAAACAAGAACTATTTTTTTTTCTATCGGTCGAGGACGTTATATGTTTTTCGGATTAAATGCACGCCCGGTATGCAAGATGCAGAGGAGTGTTTTGGTAACGGATCGCCTGGGATGAACAATATCGCTTAGACTTAGAGCCATTTATTTCCTGGTCAAGTCAATCAACCAACACATTCAGCTTCTAATAATTAGGGTGGCCCAGCCCTTTCCTGTTACACGTACCAGATATTGAATGAGAATTGTAAAAAAGCCAACAGATGATGGTCAACAAGATGGCTGTTTATTATTTCCGAAATTGGAGAAAGTAAACCTATTAATACTAATTCTTGGAAACCTGTGTGGAAAACAGCGTGGCTAGTCTGCTCTTGCCTCATTTATGGGCTCTGGGGCATAGGAGGAAGCAGAAAGCTGATTAGGCTTAACTTTGACCTGATATTCTAAGTCACATGTATTTAGGCACCAGCATCTAACTCCAAAAGAAAAGATGCTTGCATGTGCAAAATCGACATGAGCTCTTCCGCTTTCTCAAATTGGCTGAATGTAACTTTTGCATCAGGATGGCTGCAGAATCTTTGGAATCTCCCCAGTGAACTTTAAAAATCTTTTTTTAAGTAATAAAGAGTTGCTGTTCTGCAGGGGTTAACAAAGCAGTTAAAGAGACCAAAGTTCTGACTGGGAATAAGGGAACTCCCTATGCACTTATTTTTTTCTGCTTCAAGCATACTTGCTCATGGTAAGAAAGCAGCAGCTTCAGCAAACCCTAGATAAAGCAGATTATCTGGTTCCCTTTCAGTCAGGATTCAGGCCTGAACATGGGATGTATGTATGTATGTATGTATGTATGTATGTATGTATGTATGTATGTATGTATTCATTCCATGGGGTGGAAATAGCATTGGTTGCATGTTTGGGTGATCTCTGGCAGGAGCAGATTGAGGATAGCGCATCACTTCTAGCTCTACCTGACATCTCAGCAGCTTTTGATATCATCAGTTATGGCAGGGATGTCAAACTCAATTTCATTGAGGGCCGCATTAGCATTGCAGTTGCCCTGGGGGGGGCGGATGGATGCGGTCTACTGGGTGGGCGTGGATGGAGTGGGTGTGGCCTACTGGGTGGGCAAAGCCAGCTCTACATTGTTCACGTCAAGGGTGCCTGTGGGGGCCTGGGCAGGAGTGGGACAGATCTGAGGGTCTCTGGCAGAAGGGGGTGAGACCGGGGCAAGCGCCAAGGCATGGTCCATTTCTTCATTCCTCACAAAGGGTGACACCTCCCCAGCATGCACCCAGGGGCCAGGGCCAACGTGGCGGGCTGGTTCCTCGCTGTTTCCGGACGGCCTTGTGGAGCTAAGACTGATTGCGTTTCAGCATAGATGGCCACCACAAAATTGTACATTGGCTCCTGGCCGACCTGGGCCAGGGCCAAGGCAGCGGGGGCCGTTCCCTCACTGTTTCCAGGAGGGCTTCGCGGGCCACATGAAACCAATTCGCGGGCCGCATCCGGCCCCCGGGCCTTGTGTTTGACATGTCTGAGTTATGGTATCCTTCTGGATCAGCTCCCAGGATTGGAAGTGGGTGGCACAGTATTGTGCTGGTTCTTTTCCTTCTTCTGGACTGATACTAGTCAATGTTGATCAGGAGATCCTGCCTTCAGCTCCTACCCCCTGGGTGCCGCAGCGCTTGATATTCTCCCACTCCTGTTTAACCTCTACATGAAACTGTTGGGGGAGATCATCTGTCACCATCAGTAGGCTGATGAAACTCAATTGTAATTTTCCAAGCCTGGCAAATTAAACAGTGCTGCAGATGTCCTCTCCTGTTGCTTGGAGGCTGTAAGGGTCTAGATGAGGAACAACAGGCTTCAACTGAAACCAAACAAGACTGAGTGACTTTGAGTTTTAGGGCCTTTCAGATCTGGGACTTTACCCTCTTTGATACTGTATACATGGAAATGCCCCAAATAGAGCCAATTTGCAATCTGAGAGCCCTTCTGACTCATAAAGGAGGAGCAGGTGACCTTCAGGGCCAGTTGTGTCAGTTTCTGAATCTTAAGGCTCTGCTCAGTTACTCATGCCCTAGTCACTTCTCTTACAAAGCATTGTAATTACATTGTAATTGAGTAGCCGGAAACTTCAACTGGTGCAAAATGTAGCGGCACAGGCAGTTATGCGTGTCCCTATGAGGACAGTTACATTTCTGCTTTATGAATTAATTTGGTTACCAGTTTGCTTCTGAGTGCAATTCAAAATGCTGGTTTTGATCTTTAAAATCCTCCATGGGACATAGGATGGGGCCACGTTACCTGAGGGATTGCCTCTTTTCCATTACATGTACCCATTGTGGGGAAAATAGGCTGAGGAAGGAGTACTAGTATTTGTATTACTACAAATAAAGGAGAATATTTGTAGCTCAGGGTTGAAATGACGGGTCCTTGGATGTTCTCTGAGTTTGGTTGTTTTCTTGCAGAAGTCTCATTACGTCAATTTGGTTAATGAAGCATCTGCAAGAAAACAACCAGGCTCAGAGAACACCAAGGACTCCTCACCTTGAATTATTTATGAAAAATAATAAAGGCGGGATAAAAAAAATAATGTCTCCACTGCCCACGGGATGGGGCAGTACCACTCACTCTGGAAATGCTTGATCTATATAATGTATCTGATATCAAATATTTGAGATGGACCCCCCCCTAACTGAAGCAATGAGCATGTCTCATTTTTGTCTAAATCGGGATCCCAAAACTGGGGTGTTTGCACCCTTAGGGGTGCGAGATCGAATTTCAGGGTGTGTGACAAATAGTAGCTTCTGTCCCTTTAAGATACGTCAGGAGCCACAATTACATTTGTGGAGAGTGCAAAATTAATCAAACTTTTCCTGTGGATGTGGGGTGTAGAAAAGGCTGGGAACCACTGCTTTAAATAATACAGTTTAGGATGTACCTTATTGTGTTTCTCAGTCCTCTTGTGTTTTTCAATGTCCATGCTAGAACATGAAGATTGCTTCCTTTTATATCTCCATTGGAATAAAGTAGCTGTAAGGACCCACTTCAGCTAACCACCCAAGAAAGCAGAACTCTGAAACAGGCATTGTCTCAAAAGGAAACTTTTATTAGGGGTTAGTGACAATAGGGAAGTCAAGGCAAAACCTGGGGAAAATCCCGCTAAAATTGTATAGTTCAGATATGTCAAACACAAGGCCCGGGGGCCGGATGCGGCCCGTGAAGTGGTTTCACGTGGCCCACGAAGCCATCCTGGAAACAGTGAGGGAACAGCCCCCGCTGCCTTGGCCCTGGCCCAGGCCGGCGGGAGCCAAGGTACAATTTTGTGGGGGCCATCTATGCTGAAACGCATTCAGTCTTAGCTCCACAAGGCCGTCTAGAAACAGCGAGGAACCAGCCCCTGCCGTGTCGCCCCCGCTCCCTGGGTGCATGCTGGGGAAGTGTCACCCTTTGTGTGGAATGAAGAAATGGACCATGCCTTGGCGCTTGCCCCGGTCCCACCCCCTTCTGCCAGAGACCCTCAGATCTGTCCCACTCCTGCCCAGGACCCCACAGGCACCCTTGACACGAATGATGTAGAGCTGGCCATGCCCACCCAGTAGGCCACACCCACTCCATCCACGCCCACTCAGTAGGCCGCACCCACCCTGGCCACACCCATCCGGCCCTCCGAGGGCAACTGCAATGCTGATGCCGCCCTCAATGAAATTGAGTTTGACACCCCTGGTATAGTTAAACCAGCAATATTCCTCCTCCCACCAGAGTCAATAGTGTCTATTTGAATTGGCACAGTTGGCACGCATCTCAAGGTCTCCTCTAGTTTCGTTTCTCTGCAACCCTCTCCCTGATAAGGGAGACACATCCCTTTCTCAAGCGGAGAGAGGCGGGAGAGGAAGTTAGAAAGCCAAAGTTACCCCAAGCGAAAGCAAATTCTCCCCTCCCCCCAGCAGAATGGCAGGCCCCAAAACAAGAGCATATATGCAGGGAAAACAATAAGGTTTCTGGGGACCTGACAGTAGCACATGGAGATTTATTTTTTTTTTAAAGGAAAGGAAGGCTAAGCTCTCAGGATAAATAAGTTCCAACACATGTTTTTCTTATCCAAATAGCAATTTGTGTGACTCGTTTCGTATTGGGTAGCATCCAGGTTTTATTGACAGACTTTTTTTCAAGTATGTTATTGGTTATTTTAATTTTTTTTAAAAAGAAAAGAAATACCACATGGTTCATAACTAAAAAAGATAAAATTTGATATCTTGATTCAGGGTAATGGTCTTTTTATATGAGGCAAAACTTGGATTCAAAGTACAAACGCCAGCCTAAATATAAAAAAGGATTCCTTAAAAAGGATGGCCAAAGTTTCCACTAATTTGTATTACTTCTGTACC